TCAAACGGTACCATTGAGAAACATGGTTGAATTATGGCTACAAAGTCCCAGCAGAATGCTAATGCAACTTGGTACCTGGGTTTTTGTGAGGTTTGGGGGAAGATCAATACAGTTATAACTTGGGGCATTACAGCATTGTCAGTCTGTTTTCATTAATTTGCAAGGAAATTATTAATCATAGTATAGAGACTGGTTTCAGGCTTCATCCATTTTCTAAGAGCTTCATTTTTATGGGGGAAGTATTTCAGCCTCTGACTCGGCAAGATAAGTAGGCTTGTGCGTAGTCCTTTACAGAAACAAATACAAAGTGTTTATTAGGATCTAGCTGCAGCGTAATTGCTTACAATTTATTGTCGAGGTTTAAGTGCTAAACTTCAGTGGAGTTATAATCCTCTAAGGGTAAGGCATCCCAAAGTCATATTGTTCTAAAACCTATAAGGGAATTTCATTGAAATAAACCTTACCTGGAACCCTCCTGCATCACTTCTTTCTAAACACATGTATCTTTTTTTAAAAAAAAAACAACAAACAACAACATGCCTCTGCTTTTAACATTATGGTTCTAGAATTCCAGCATTTTTGTACTTCCCATGTTACTTAGACAATCTGTTCTTCAGGGTATATACCCATATTTTCATCTTTCTTTATTTTTTCAGTGTTCAGAGCCAAGCCTATATAGAATCTAGCACTTGTCCCTTGACTGGGACCACAAAGCATTCCCTTTTTAAAAGCAAGCAATACCTTACAGCTTGCCACTGTGGTACATCTGCTTCTTCCGATGACATAGCAGAAAGATACAGTGTGTGTGACATTGTCCTTGGGGACAGCTGATGTTATTACAGATAATGTGATGGCCCTGACCAAAATAACATAAGCTATGTATTTATAACACACTCACACTTGTTATTTCATTTACAGATTTGTTTGGTATGAAGAAGCAACTCTTTGAACATGTCGTAGGAGCAATGAGATATATATAACTGTCATCAAAGGTTTTCTTTCTGCAGCCAAGTACTAAATATCAAACTTATTTGAGATACCCTTTACAAGAAGCCTGGCTGATATTTTTTTTTAAATAATAAATTGAACAGGTTCTACAGAATAAAAACAAACTATAAAAAATAATACTATTCAGGTGGTTAAAATGTGTGAAAGTAGAGCACTAAGCACTAAGGTTAAATGCCACTCTCCTGTCCTCTGAAAGTCTTATGTGTGGGCACAGGTAATTTGATTGAGCCAGTCGATATGCAACAGAATCACCTAGAGGAAAAAAAACCCACACCTTATAATTAATACTGGTCACTTTAGAGAAGCCATTGTTTTGTTCATTGTTCATGCAGAGGGTGTATGATGACCTGGGGTTACTTTCTGCCCAAAGAACAAAATTGGATGTATTGCTGGGCATGAGTGTAGTAGGACAGGTGGAGTACAGAACATCGGTTCTCCACGCACACTGGATTCTCACTGGAAGGACGCAGGTGAAATGGTATTGTTCATTTGTCATCTTAAGCAGATATGCATGTGACCTTCAGATTATGATGTTTTCAGGTAAGCAGTTAGAAGCACTGGTGTGATAACCACTGCTTTGGGAGGAGAAATTCTTTGTGCCGCCAGAGCTATAGCCGCTAGTCTTACTACTGTTACAAATGAACAGTCTGTTCTAAATTCTCTTTGGAGTCGAAAGAAAAGCTTCTGTTTACCGTGTTGGGTTTTGCAATAGTGTCACGACACAGCAAAGAAAAATATTCACTGAACAGGATGGGCTAATAAATGTTCCTCTCTCCCCCAGACACTGGCATGCGCTTCCACTGAGCTCTGCAGTCCTCCTAGGCTGCTTCCAGCCCAATTTTAGCAGACTGCCTTGTGTGTAGATAGGAGAGGTCTGTTCATTCCCGTCTTGCTGAAAAGATGGTGCATGCACAGGGTGGCTGAAGCTATAGCTGGGAGCTGACAAGGTCTCTGTGCTGGCCCCTCGGTTATGATGTTGTATTTTGCCTATTGCCATCTATTATTCTCAATGACTAAGAATTCTGTAAAAACTTGAGGCTAAGCTAGCACATTGGGGTGTCACCGAACAAAGCAAGTAGAAAATTCCCATCTCATCTGTTTGGTTTGAGAACATGACCTAGATTCCAGTACCCATGGCTACATGGAGAGGAGCTGTTTTATTTCTTGTTATTGTATAATCAGACTCAAAATCATTACAGTACACTGATTCTTATAACAAGAAGTACCCCCTAAGTGACTGGGTATGTTGCAGATTGTTCTGTTTGTATTCTGTGTGTTGTGATGCTGGGTGAAAGCATCTGGGAAATAGGAATAGAGCTCACAGTCTACAGGCTCAGTTTTGATCCATGGTAAAACTGCTGTTGGTAATGGTAGTGAATAAGTGGGATCCTGCTTCTCCACCTCTAGGATCCTGGGCGGGTACCGCCATACTAAGTTATTTCTAGAGGCAAGGGATGCAGTTTGTAGAACTACTTAGAACAATGGGGGTGGGGGGTGTTGAGTCTTTTTTGCACAGTCTCTTTAATATATTCTTTTACTACTTCCTTCCTTTTGGAAGCTTAGATCAGGTACTCCAGCTCATCAAGGCCACTCCAGCACAGAGGTCATTTTAAAAGCTGGCAGATGAGGACACTGAAGAATTTCTTTTGCGGTTGGTCAGAAATAGAAAAAGTAGAGTTGTTTATGGTAACCTGTCCGTTCTTTCTTTAGACGTGCTGTGACCATGGCTCCGCTGCTATGAAAACAGCAGTTCTCATGAGGTCTTAACAGCTATTATAGTCGTTTGTTTTACAGAAATGCAGTTGTATAGCAACTTTTTTTTTCTGATGCTTGCTGCAAGTGAAATGGAATTTGTTTAGATGCCATGTTCACTTGGACCAGGCTTTTCTGCCAAAATACTGCAATGATCTTTTCCTATTAGGAAGGAACTTCCTCTTCCAATTAATTAGAGATATGTTACATTCATTTTCTTGCCATTTCTCCACATCAGTGGTAACTGCTTTGATAACTGTCAACATCATGTTGATTTATTAAAAACTGTTCGCTTTTTAAAATCTGATTAAAAAGACACAGGTCTTGGAATTCAAGCCTATAGCTTTTCACTCCTCCCATATTTCTCATGGTTTTGACTAGAAAAGGATATCCATTTGTGTCGCCTTTTGCTTTTCACTCCTGTTAACCCCTAGAGTTGCTATTCCCAAGTCTTGATGAAAAGAAAATATGGACTCAGTGAACAACTCTCACTTTTTTCAGTAGAAAGGTTTGTACAAAGGGCTCTATCACAGCTCTAGAGTGCAATAGTGTGTGCTTCCTCTAGCCATTTGTGCAGTCGAATCCACACTCGGGTGCTCTGGTACGTCAGCTTGTATGCAAGACATGATATATACGAATACTGCACGTTCCAGATTTCCAAAAGTCTCAGAGGATGTTTCAAACCATGTGGCTCTTTTACCTTCCAGGCCAGTTCTGTAGACAGGAGATTTCCAAGACCTGCAAAGCCTCACCCTCTGGTATACATCGCCAGTGCACTCCAGGCTCAGAGAAAAAAATATAGCACGTATTGAGGTGGCGGTTTGCCTGGAGGAAACTGTTCAGCCTTGGGTGTGTCGACTGTTGTCCTGTTCTGATAGCAGTTTTTACTAGGTTGTTAGCGAGAGAAGCACAAGGAAGAGGGAAGGCAACAGAACTTCAGGCAGATATGACAGCTACAGGATGGATTTTAGGGATCAAAATTTAGTACGATCATCGTTACAAGGTCAAGTAAGTCAGGGTGATAATTGGATCCGTAGTAGACTTAGCTGAAACTCTCTCTCAAATCAACATAACAGCTGGGTTGGATCCAGATAACCAGCCAGGTTTGCACCACTAACCCAGGGAGCCTGGGTTTAATAGTAAAACATCATAGGCCATAGCTATTCAGCCACAAGAAAAATGGGATTCACAAAAGCAGAGGAAATCTTACCGTCACGCATTCCTTATTTAAAGTGACATAATGGTTATATGGTAGAGCTGTGAGCTGGAAACACCCTATGCACTGTGTGCACACAGCAATGCACAGCTGAAAACTGCGAGACCATTCTGTGGTCATTAGTAGACAGAGTAAAAGTGTATCAAGTAAACCAGCAGCAGTTCTCCTGTCATTAATACACAATTCCTGTATTTCCCCTTTTCATTCATATCCTTAATAGCAAGGTAAAGGCTATCTTGCCAACAGCCATACAGACTTAATTCATTTCATTATTTGTTCCATTCCGGCCCTGTTAATATACTCTTCTGATCTTCCCCTGTTGTGAATGAAGAGGGCGTTCAGCGTATGCAGTGAACTGTGTGCTTTTGCTGTCCAGTATCAAACTATATTCTCACCAGTTTTTAAATTTGGATGGTTTTTGCATTCGCTATGAAGAACCCTGCTTTAGGCGTTCTTCAGTAATGCATGGAGGAATAATATCTGCTAGTCTGCGTGTCCTTGTGACAGTCAGAGAGAAAAGGTGAAAGCAGGTCATAGACAAACAAGCATCCATTAAACCTAAGCTGTTGGTTTGACCAGAAGTAAAAGACAACTGTAGTTTTGGAACTACGTGGAAAAAAAAATAAGTAGTGTAGAAGGCACCAAGGTGTGGAAGGAACTTCAGTATTGCTGTTACCTTGTTTTAGAGTCAGGATTTGTGTTCAGATGAAGTAGCTGGGAAGTGCTTCCAGGTCTCCAGACTTAGATGCATCTAGAGTTCAATGTTTACTTGTTTAAATCCTCAAAATCATGGTCCCAAATCCTACCTGACCTCCTGGAAGACTGAAGGTGAAAAAACTTAATTTCCAGGAGCCACTCAAGAGGGTTACGTATGGCTTTTGGATAGTGACAGATTTTGTTCCATTTTTTGTACAAATCCATAAACCTAGAATTAACCCTGCAACTTTCCTTCAGCCATGCAGTCTCTGACCGGAGCAACAGAAGAATATTCTGCTGATTTGTTTCCCTTTCCTCTTCTTTGCAGGTCTCCATGAAATCCAGTGTTCCCTGCCTGTAGAAAATAGAAGAATCTTTCTGAATGAATTATCTGAGGTCAGCTTTAGTGAATGCAAATTTAGTTTGTCATTGACGGACCTTTTTATCATCATCTTCTCTGGAGTCGCAGTCTCCATTGCTGCTATTCTATCAAGCTTCTTCTTAGCAACTCTAGTACACTGCTTCCAAAGATGTGCTCCCAGTAAAGATGACGATGATGATGAAGACGACAGTGAGGACTGAACTTAGTCTATATACTTAAGTTTCCTTGGTTTATAAGTTGCTAGATCATCAGCTAAAGCCTAGGAAGAAAACAAGTAGAGCAAAAGCTTTAAACATGAATTAAATGAAATCACAATGTGTAAAGATCCATTCTAATCTCATGACGGTCACAGGTAGGAATTGCAGTTTGCATCTAAGACTGTTAGCTTTGCTTACATATGTAACCTGATGATTAGACCGGGTTAATTTCTATGATCCTCAAACTCTGCATTTAAATTTGAAGGTTGGAGGAAAAATGGGGAAAGGCAACAAAAAAAAAAAAGTTCCAGTGTTTTAAAAGACTAACTCACAGCTTCCAGATTGTCCTTCTGATGAGATGCTGATTTTTATAAGTGCTTAAGAGCTTGTTCTAAATGCACTTCGAAAAGGACTGGCTAGATGGAGGCATTTCAGCTGGAAAATAAGGAACCAATTTGAAACAGTGTCCTTCTTAGATCTAAGTAGTGGGAGATTCTATTAAGCTCACACGACCTTCTAAGTAACAAAAGGCCATTAAAACGATTCCTAGAATTGTAGAAAGCCTTACAGGAAGGTTGGCATTTTCTTTCTGCAAATGTTCTCTATAAACATTCATCCAGCAGTTGCAGGCATCATTCAGCCAAATTTTTTTTTTTTTTCTATAAGTGAATGCGATTCTAGATCTGAGTCATCCACTGCAGCTGCCTGGCACCTTTTTGGTCATGGCACAACTACTAAATATAACATTCTTTTGCATTTTTAAACGCAGTGAAGTAGAGGATTTCCCTTCCCTGTAATGCTAGGCACAAGTAACTGTTGCAGTATCGAGTCCGTTTTGTTATTTTAAAACACTAAGGGCTATATTCTGCTCCTGATTATACCAGAGTAACACAACTGAAGTGAACACCCTGATCCAAATTGGCAACTGTATAAACAAGTGTGGAATCTGGCCCAAGATGTTTCTGACTGTATTATAGATCTGTCAAAACTTGAGCTCTTCTATATAACAGTAGATATTTTTGTTAAAATTAAAAAAGATGTTTATTACAAGAGATTTTTGGAATAGTGCCGGACAGCTTTTTAGGATAAGTATATTTTTAAAATATTTGTAATGGAAATATTTTTTTAAAGCTCTGTGTATTTAAAGTATTATCTAGAGTAGCTGTGAGGGCTTAAAGTAGTGAATAACATAGTAATAAACAACTGAAGGACTGTATGCTATTAGAAAAAATTAGATCTTATAAAAAGTAGCATCTATTTAACTACTGTAAATGCTGTTATTTCTTAAAGAAACACTCTTTGGTTAAAATATTGCCTTGCTCAGTTAATACGAATGGTCTTTTATGGACAGTTAGTTCCAAGTCTCTTGTATCTGTTGTGCTAATCGTTCAGGCAGACAGGAGTGAATTACAGTGTGTGTGACAAGGGGCGGTGTGGTCCAGTAGATAGGGTACACCATTAGGGCCCAGGACTCCTGAGTGTCGTTCCCATCTGAGGGTGATCAGCCAGAAGACCTCCAGCAAGTCACTACCTGTCTGTGCCTCAGTTTCACTACCTATAACATGAAGACCATAATAACTATTTATCTTTTTCAAGTGCTTTGAGATATGCAGTGGGGGGGCACTATAGTGGCGCTATGTATAATGTTTCTATATGTTAGGCTGAAGCAGATGTTATGCAGTAGCTCTAATCTGATCTCATATCAGTATGACTTCACTGATATCAATGGAGTTACTCCATCGGCTAACAGTTTGCAATGGAGCTTGCACCATGCTGAGGTCAAAACCAGGACAAAAGTGTTCATTTCTGTTAACTCTACAGCTTATTCAATGCGACTTAATGCTGCCATTGTTAAGATTATTATTTCTGAAAACACGTTGAAACAGAATTAAGTAGGACAGTGAGAGGATATTTGTATCAATACTGTCTTATTCTATTCTGATTCTTTCAAGAAAAAAGAAATGACATGATTTTCACTGTGTAGTGCCATGATTATAAATAACACAAATATATTTATAATTTCAACATCAGCTTTCATGTTTATTTGTATGTGGGTATGAAAGAAGGAGAAAAATCGTGCCTGATTCTCTCATCGTTTGTAAGGTGGGTTTTGCAGTATGGTTGGAAATACACAACTTGTTGCCTGGTGCAGTTCATGAAGTACACTCCCTTTGCAACAAATACGGATATGTTATCAACAGTTTTATATTTAGAGCTGTGCAAATTGTTCACTTGTGGAACAAGAAACTGGGTCACACTTTTTTGTCTGTAAGTTTTATTACGGACTCAAAACTTGCAACCAGTTAGCAAAATGATTTGTCCTACCAAACTTCTCAGTGAAACATCAGCGAATGTTTGGGCAAATGTCCACCCTTCCTTTGGTAACGACTTTATGGTTTTGTTTCCTTGTCCTGTAAGGCTGACTAATTTTGCAGAGGTCTCAACTCAAACTCAACTGTTTTGACTGGGTTCTGCTCTTACTTGCAGGTTCATCCTACCGTGGTGCCTCAAAAAGAAGATCTAGATTTGTTTATAGTTTGTAGCGTTTTGTTCAACCCAACATAAAGCCCTGAAAGCACTGATTATATTTGGAACTTAGCACCCCTCAGAACAGCAAGGAGCAGACCCAGCTGACACCCACATAATCCAGTCCAAGCTGAAGAGCAAGGCTTAGTAAAGCTTTATTTATGAAGCTGCCATTCTGGACACTCCATCACATCAAAGTGATTTTGCAAAGTATGTTTTTTTCTGGATAAGAAACTTTAATGATATTTTCCCCTACGAAGTAATGTGTATTTCATGAGTATTGAACTCATCCAGTTAATAATATTTATTCATTGTAAGCATCAGCAGTTACCTGCTATTAATATTGATTTTGCATAATTCTAATTGCTAGTAAATGAGACAGACTTGGATTTAGTTCTTACTGGGATTTTTCTTATTTCATGTAATCTTCAGAGCAAAACATTCCCCTGTTGGAATATTGCCAGAACTAGTGATCGGCATAATGATCCCCCACAAAACTTTGAAAGCCAATTTCACCATGAATAGAAAGCGGCCTGAAAGCTGCATTATTATTGCAGTTTTATCTCCACAAAGGTAGTAACACGGAGGTAATCCCATCTCCAGCTTTGTGGACATGGAAGGTGTTCCCGTGTGAGGATGCTTCTGTGGGGGGGATCTAGTGCGTATGCACTCCCTTCTCAGGCTGCGGGAACCCTTATTAAGATCAGTGAAGTTACGATGGTGCCAAATCTAAGAGCTGAATTTAGTTCCCTGTGCAATACATCGCAAGCGCAAGAAGCACTGCCTGTAGGTGATTGTAAATGTGCAGTAGAAAGTTTGTCCTCATTTACAATTTTCCTTCTAAAATGGCTTTACTTTGGTGGCGGTATCTCTCACTGTCAGAAATGAGCAGACATTTTACCTGCTTCAAGGGGAAGGAAAGATACTATGCGTGACCCAAATAAAATGTTGCAGGCTCAAAGAGCCAGGAAGCAGCTGTCACATTGCCTGCAGCTATGTCTCCTTGATGAAATGCTGGATCTTGGTATGTGTGAGGATCCAAAAAATGTGCCAGAAAGCGAATCTACATGATGTAATTGAGATGGAGTCTGACTTTTTAGAAGCATGCGCATTGGTTTAAAGAAAATCTCTAATCCACAGAATATTAAAATAAAGATCACCTGAAGCGACTGTCCAAACCTAGCATTTCATCCTCAGTCAGCCAGCATCGTTTTGAGGCAGCTTCAGTCCTGCTGTGATTCTTAGATGTGAATATTAAGGGATTGTTTTTTAGAGCAGCATAAAAATGCATTGGGAAAGTACCTTGAAGGGATGGTTCTGGAAATTCACAAAAAGGAGCATACTGCTTGCCTACCTCAGATATATAGTAGAGAGTGAACCAGTGTATGTTGGCAGCTAAAACTTAGCCTGGCAACTAAGGTGAGGTGACCAAAAATGTTCTCGTCTTTTGGCTGTGGGAAGAACTGTGTGCAATCACAGATACACGTGGATAGGGTGCGCACAGTTGTGCGGCAGGGAGAAGGTGTGTGTATAACAATACTAGAGCTTGCTGTAACTATCACCCCTGTAGACAGCCTCAGTGGAACAGCTGAAGCCTGATGGGGATGCTGAGCCTGAGACAGTCCTTCATCCCTAGCGGAGGTTCCTCTGTGCTGGCTTTCAAACCCACGGGAGCAACTCTGTGCAGGACCTTTTACTGATTCAGCATGTGCTGCCTATCTGCTACGTGAGTAAACTACTTTAGTTTCCAGGGCTGCTAGCTGGCACATTTCTAAGTTCAGCTCATGTCCCCCAAAATAAAGGAGCAGGAGGTTTGACGGCTTCCGAATCTGACCATTCCTCTCGGAATGATGTTCTCTTTTGTGGTGTAACCTGTTTTACTGGCCTCTAGTGGCAACTGAGGTGCTTCACTGTGGAGGTAAGTTATTGTGATTTGTTGTGGTGAAGGTGGTGTTGAAATGCTGAATCTTTGCATACTCTTTCCAAAAAGACACCGGAAATACACATTAGGAAATTAAATTTCTTGGAGAGTAAGATCTGCTGTGGACTCTGAGTGCCAAGCAGCCTGGAATATGCATGAGCCACCAGAAACACTTATTTAACGTTCTCTCTGTTAACATTGGAGCAATACAACCTTGTCATAGAATTGTAGAAAATAGCTATGGAAGAACCTCAAATACATCATCTAACGATCGCCGATGCTTTGTAATAAAAATGCTTGCTTTTCTAAGCGGATTCCTACTCTCATCTTGCCATCATCTTCCCCATCGTGTCTTGGTTTCTGAATCTCTGTATCTTGACTGTATCTAGAACAACAAAATCCCAGTTTGGTACTATCTCTGCACAGTACAGCAATACGAATAACAAACCAGCAGACAAGGAATGGCGCAGCTTCCTTTATGCTCACCAGCTGTCCAGCTATGGTTGTAAAGAGGTAGCAGGAAAAAAACTACTGAATTTTAAGCTGAGAGAGAGAG